TCCAGAACGTCCACGAGTCGACGCGTCCATTCGCTCCGGTGCACGTACTGGAACCACCTCTCGCAATCGTCGTACGCTCTCTCGCGAAGCCACGCGTACACCCGTCGTCTCGCGCCGCGAGGCCACGCGCTCACGTAATCTCGTTGGACCGCGACTCCCTGTCTCGCCGCGCGTTCGCCGGTTCCGCGCGCACCCAGCTCCCGGTCGCACAGAAACCGCACCGGCGACACACGTCGTCGGCGTTCCCACGGCTCGTGGTCGTCCGCCGTCGTCCCTCCGTCGACGAGAACGCGAACAACGTCCTGCACCTCATCGCTCGGGCGAAAGTCGAAATCTCGATAGCGTCTCTCGAAAACGTCCCAACGCGACATGCCGCGTGGTGGGTCTACGTCAATACGAATTTTATAGTTCTCCGCGTACCGCGACGTTCAGCCGTCCTTCAAACACAAAAAAATATTGTATCGCCGAACGGCTCGAAGCGTCGCTCGGGGGGGGGGAGGGGGAAGCGACCTTCCCGCACCTCGATCCGGCCTTCGCGGTCGTGAAAAAAAGAAAATAAACTAGAGCGTGCACGGTCGGCCGTCGAGTCCGACTCTCGCGTCTTCGACGACGGCGAAACGCGCTCGCGGGCCGCTTCGCTTTATGCGCTACCACGGTGGGGTTGACAAAGGTGGGTCGAGATATCCCCGTTGGAAAAAAAACAAAAACACGCGCTTCATCGCGAAAAGAGACAAGAGATAGATTCCTCCTTCGGAGATCGGAGGCAAATCGTAGACGCGGGACTCGAAACTCTCGTTTCGTCGCGCTCGCTCTTCCTCCCCTTTATTTTCGCGTTCGGTCACTCGCGGTGGTCGTTCGCTCTCTCTCTCTCGCGTCGCGGATCGGCCGCGATTCGCCGCGGGGGGGTGGGAATTGAGGTCGCGGCTGTACCGCGACGTTCCCGAGGAGTAGCGATCGGTTCGATCGAAAAGAATGAAACGCCCATTCATCCATCCATCCGTCGTTTCTCGCGCTACGAGAGCGCCTCCGTCGAGAGCCAGGAGAGGAAGCGAGACACGGCGATGCGCGTCGACCGGTTCGTTTCGCTCCCTTCCACCGAAGCGTCGCGCGTCCCCAAGCGATCGCGGCGCGGAAGAGTTCCTCCGCGGCGCTCGATGGGATTCCCAGAATCGGGCGTTTTCGCCAACGGAGGGCCGTTTTCGCGGACGCGAGGCGACGAAACGCGAATCCCGTCGCGCGGACGCGAATCTCCCGTTCGTCCCGCGCGCGAATCCCGCTCGCGGCGTCGTCCCGTTTCGCGCCAAGTGGGACGACGCCGGCGCCTCGCCGTGTCGCGAGAGGCGTCCCGTTTCGTTTTCCTTCTTCTTCGATCTCGCCTCGCGACGAGGCACGCAATCGGAAACGTCCGCGCCGAGGGTGAAGAAAACGTTCGGTCGAGAGTAGCGTAAACGAACAGCGTGCTCGGGACGCCGCGCGGGGCTCGCTCGCTCGCTCGCGGTTCGCGCGCCGGTTCCGCGACTCCACCGTTCGTACGTTTTTTCATTTCGGAGAAGCGTCGACGGGGGGAGCGCGCGGGACCGCGAAAAAAAAAGATACGAAAATTCCGGATACCTCGGACGAGACACGAAACATGGATGGAGCCTAGCGATCGGCGTGAGCGATCGCCGCACAGCGTCGCGCCGACGCGCGATCGCGCGGCCGCCCTGGGCGCGTTTCGGCGAGGGAGGAAGCGAGCGAGGAGCGAGCGACCGACCGAGCGAGCGAGCTACCCGCGCGCGCCGATTGCGGCGATCGTGGAAACGCGACGTTCGATCGTTCCTCGTTTCCATGGTGTCGCGATCGAGAGTGCAAGCGCTACGCGCGCGCGTTCTCTACCGTTCGTTCGTTTTTTTTTTCGAAAATATTCGAGCGTCGACGGGGTTCTGCGACTCCACCGTTCGTTCGAGAGAGAGTAGCGTAGACACGGTTGAGGA